GTAAAGATAGCATAATAATCGAAACAAGAGTATATACTGTACATAAAAATCACATCATAATTAGTAGAGGTCGATCTTTGATCGGGTGAGTAGAGTACTCAATTCATGACATTCCCCTCTCATACTTAAATTCCCGAGCCGAGACACTTTGGTGATAACAGATAAGTGGCCTTTGGTATAAGTCATGAGTTTCTTAAATTTCTCAAAAATATTTAGGTGGTGACTCTGAAATCTGGCAATGCGATCTATTTTTGACATTTTTGATTAAAAATCGATTTTCCAAATATTTGTCGAATTTGAACTCTTTGTATTTTTACTGTTTCACATTGCATTTGTAAAATCAGATCCAGAATCACGGGAGTCCGAACTGTAGGGCTATCGTATCTGAAGAGACTAAACCTCTCCAAGTAGCATGAAAAGCAAGCTACACTCGTTTAGTAATTAGGAGACAAAAAATGACATCATTAGTTTATGTTATGATTTTTTATTTGTCAAAAATAATACTATATGAATAACGCTACATAATATTCAAATACTTTTTATAGTGTAAAATTGTAATGATCATAATTTTTTTTATGATTATATTTTGTTTATTATTTAATGAGATATACTCAAAAATATTTTTATAATAAATTTCATGAAAATATCACTAATATCCAAATATCATACATATATCGCATCACATGAATACTGCTGTGCTCTTTCTACTAAAGTTAGGCAAGATTTGAACTGAATGGTGGTTCATGCATCAATAACGGTTGGAAAAGTAGCATCTAGTTAAAAAGGTTACATATTTAAAAAAAAATTAAAATTTAAAATTTGTGTAAAAAAATTATACTTTTCCAATTTTAATATATTTATAAAAAAATCCAAAAAAAAAGTTTAATAAAACAATATTAAAAGAGGACAACTATTTTTGACTTTTTTTATTATTATCTTTAGTGGACTTTTTTTTTTCAATTTTATTTTTTTATTTTTCTGATTTGTCTGATCGAGTAGAACTTGGCAGAGTTGATTGGGCATATTATAATATAGTATTGGGATTATTAATTCATGTGATTTACTTCATATTGTTTGCTTGCAATTTTTGTTATTAATATTAACAGAAATGATAGAGACCCCACAAACACCCCACCCCACGACCCTACACACACGTGTCAGAAAAATATTTATTTCAGTAATTTAGGTGAATAACCAATGCTACACTAATATCATGCATTGTTAAACCCTCACTATTAATTTGCTAATAAAAAAAGGGTCTACAAGTCTACAACTTTTTGATTTTTTTTTTTTAACAAAAAACTAAAAAAAAATCAACAAAAAAGTTACTAAAAAAAAGTCAATCTTAAACACTATTATAGTAAATATAACTTTTAAATAAACCCAAACCGAAATAGATATTGTATTTATTTAACCAAAAATAAATAAATAGTACTAAAAAATAAATACAAACTTACAATACAGAAAATGATTAAAATTAGAGTTTGACCCTATCTACTTAAAAAATAATTCGTCTCTCCTTACCGCGCTATAAAATTAATGGACGTATGTCTCCTGCAATACAATGATCACAATCACACTGGGAAACCTTTCGAAAGTGTGCCTACCGAACCAACAATGACTTATAATCTCAGATTTGATGCGACATGAATATAGGAAAATCTGATTAATGAATCAGGAAGATGAGAAACATATAGATAGTCGGATTGATGATTATTGTGTGGGTGAAAATCTGACCACACTGCCCGTTTAGTGATCAGCTGGAGAGCACAAGCAGAATAGATGGCTTAACACTACAAGAAAAGTTGCCTATTGCAACGTTTCTTTTATGGCGTTTATGAAAAACGCCATTATAGATTAGTTAAATACAACGTTTTCAAAACGTTGTCTCTCATCTCAGTAATATGGCGCCGCTTGGGTCAATTTGTTGACACCGTTCAATACTCCGTCCATTTCAAAAACGTCTCTCACTCATCTAGGAGATATTGCAGGATAGTAAAAAAAAGGTGAACAACAAGGGCAATTGTAAACCAATACCTGCATTTCAGTATCTTTGTGGTCAAGGTGTGACAAATAGATAAGTGTTTCCCTCATGATCTGCAACACTGTAGTTTAAATTAGAAATAGCAACTAAAGGACAAATAGAGACAGAAACCAAACATAAATAACAAAATACAAAGGATCCCAGTGCACGAGGCTCCTGCTAGCCTTCCCCACTTTTTGTGGAGAGGATGATTCCCAATAATAAATTTTAAAAACCTCTAAAATAAAAAAGATGGCATGCATGATCTGTTATGCACTGTAGAATTCAAGATGTTTATTCATAATTAGCAACCAAAATGAAAAACTTGGGTGATTCTTGACAATTGCAAGAGAGGCCGACAACCCTGTTTTAAAGGGCTAGAATATTGGAAAAGAGTTGATAATACTTTGCCAAAAGCTGCCTCAACTCTCCACAAAAGTCCTAGAAAATTGTTTTTACTTGCTAAACAAATGAATAGGTAATCACATTAACATTCCCTCTACAACAATTAGGAATTCCCATTGCCAAAAAAGTTAAGATGTATAGAACATTTGTGAAATTCAGGTATTTTTAAAATAAAAATAAGCAAAAGAAAGTGTATAGGATCATCTTTGTTAATTTTTTTTGTTACACATGCAATACTACATCTTTCTTCTACCCATAAAGATTCAAACACTGATTTCAATTTACTCAACCCCAAATTACACTATATACGATCACATCACTGCTTTGAACATACATTCTCTGAAGTGAGAGTCTAACAATATAAAAGAGGCTAACCACATATATTAAATATTAAAAAAGGATAAAAGAAAAATAGAGGTTAACTATCCATTTCATAAGGCTTTCATAGAGAGATTGGATTCCATATCTGCCAAGTATAGATTTAACACCTTATATTGAACGAGGACATCATTGTCCTTCATAGTTTTACTCACAGTATTCCCATTTTCATCCTCAGCAATCAGAACCTCTTCAAGCTTAGCCATACGGTAGATCATTAACAATCTCAACTTTGACATTGGACCACCATAGAGCTGCCGTCATTGCAACAGCTTTGAACCTAGACCATCAACAATACCAGGAAATGGCATCTGCCAATTCAACATGCACAAACAAATTGGAAATAGTAAATCAAACATTTGGTACATGTAGATTGAAACAGAAAATTAGATAAGAAATTCATAAAGGCCAGTCATCGGTATAACAGAAATTCACAGCATAGGACCCCCTTCCATTAACATAACAAAACGGATCAAACAGACTTGGGCCAATTGTGTACCTCATTTAAAAAAGATAAAAAAAAGCAAAACCTAGCCTTCACCACCCTAACAAGTTAAAGTTGTAACACTAATATGTTCATAAGCATATAAAACAAGTCGATCGAGGTCTTAGTTGCACAAATTTCTAACATCAGGTGACATCCCTTGTCACATCAAAAATCCACACTTCTTGCTGAAAAGCTAATATGGATCATGATCATAAAAAAAATGAAAGAAAGAAAAAAATATGATTTTACCACAATCCAAACTTCAACCATGCAAAGACTAAAAAACAATAAAGATTAACCGAACCCACGTTTAGGCCCCACCCAAATATTCACCCCAATTTAGTTGTTTGTCAGACTCAAAGGTTCAGAGTATCCTCAACCATAAGCACCAGGGATGTTTGTATTGGGAGGAAGAATAGCCTGTAGAACACCAAAGCATAAATGAAACAACAAATAAAGAAGAATTAAAAAGTCCAAAAAAATTCCACAAAATTAAATCCAACATTCTAAACTGGACTTTAATAAACAATTTAAGTATCTGAAGTTGCACCATGAAGATATTATACATTTTAACATACTGCATGTCATAGAAATCCCCAAAATTAAGGGCAGTAACCTGCAAACAAAAAAATATGAAATGGAAAGGTTGAAGCAGCTTAAAAGCACTTAAGGTTCTAAATTTACGTAGGTAAGATGGAATGAAAATATTCAAGGATCCATTATTTATAAGTCTATGCCTACTGATAATCCAAGGACAAAATATTAATCATATGCATCCTAGCTAGTCAACCTATCAAACTTTTTTCTTAACTGACAACTTATTGATTAGGATCATCCCCGTAGGTTATTTCTAAGAACATATTCTTTAAGTATGACCATTTTCAGTTGATGCATTCATGTCCAAGAGAATAGAAGCCCACAATGTTTTGGATGCCATAAACCATGCTATCAATAGTCAATACTAATTAAATCTACCTTTGGCACCTTTTACTGAGAAAACAAGAAATAGAATATAGAAATCACAAATGGCTTTAGAGAAAAGAAGAATTAAAAAAAAATGGGAAAAGAAAATAATTGTAGCTAATGCTACTTGCTCTACCTGATACCGGAGATTTGATGAAGTTCCCAAAAAGCCCCCATACACAACTGTTGTTTTAAGTATTAGTGATCTTTTAGTCAGTTATTTGGTGTCAAGTGCTGGATTCAGCAATTTGCGTATTGCATACAAAATATTTGAGGTAAATACAGTGCCAATACTGGAAACAAATCCAACACCAGCAAGCTTCAAACCACCGAAAAGTACTGATGCAACTCTCACTACAAGAAAAGTTGCCTATTGCAACGTTTCTTTTGTGGCGTTTATGAAAAACGCCATTATAGATTAGTTAAATACAACGTTTTCAAAACGTTGTCTCTCATCTCAGTAATATGGCGCCGCTTGGGTCAATTTGTTGACACCGTTCAATACTCCGTCCATTTCAAAAACGTCTCTCACTCGCACTTTTCCACAATTCAAACTCTCTCTCTCTCACTCAGAAACCCATTCGATTTGAAGCTCAGAAACCCTCATTCTCACTGATCAGCTCTCACTCTCGCTCGATTTCAAACAAACTCACACGATTTCAAACACTCTCTCACTTGATTTCAAACAAACTCGCTCGATTTCAAAACTTGTTGCAGATTTTGAAAGCCACCAGATTTGCGCTTCTCTTACTTGATTTCAAACAAACTTGCTCGATTTCAAAACTTGTTGCAGATTTTGAAAGCCACCAGATTTGCGCTTATCTTCCGATTTTGGTTCTCCTCTCTTTCGATTTTGTGAGTTTCGATTTTGATCCTTTGGTCAATCCAGATTTTGAAGAATGTATACATTGGAACTGATATCTTGCATGTTTTGTTGCTGCTCTGTTTTGTTGCAGATCATATATTGGAACTGATACATTGGAACTGAGTTTCGATTTTGAAGATTTTGCTCAATCGGTCACTCAGATTTGTAAGTTTTTATTATATATGATATATATATATATATATATATTACACAAAATCATTAAGTACATCATCCAAATCTCGCTCAGATATCATCCAGATCTCGCTCATATTTGTAACTTGTAGAACAAATCTCGCTCATGGGTGAACAATACACAAAATCTACTTGATATATATATATACATGTATATGTGTTCTCTCTGATATTGAGTTTATTGTTTTGGTTCTATATATATACATGACCTGTATGTGTGACTGCTTGTTTAGTTCTTCGGATGATTTTTAGTTGTCAACTTATTTTGGATATTTTTCTTTTACACTGCTATAAAGGTTTATTTTCTCAATTAGGGAAAATTATTTAGGGATATTAGGTTTAGTTGATTAGAAATGTGTTGCTGTCTTCACAATTCATATTTTAGTATTAGATATCCCTCTAGTGTCTATGCTATAACCCTATTGAAATCATCATTTGTGTGTGTGCCACTCCTGGCTTTTTCACACTTGATGAGAATTGGAACATTTTGATGTGTAAAATTTGTCTTAGCTCAGAAGAAAAGAAAAAGTAATTATGCTTGCTTTTGTAATCAGTGTTAGAGAGGTGTGAATGGATTGAAGAAAGATATATAAGTTTTTTCGCTTTTGTTAATTTTGGTAGGATTTCTGCACCATGTTTTGAGGGGTCAAATTTTTTTTTTGTCTGAATTTTTCATGGAATACTATTTTGAACTGTTATCGGATGATATTTTCTTTGTTACCGGTTTGAACGGCTATAATCGTCACTTTGAGTAGCCTTCATGGCTCTTTTTTGCACCTGACGATAATTCATATATTTAACTGTGTAAACTTTGTCTTAGATGTGGAGCAAAGCCTTGCAATCAGCAATTGTAAGTGAGGAATGCTGATGGTGGATATGATGGAGGGGAAGCTTTAGAGATTACTGTGTATGATTATTTTACCAAACACCATAACATTGAACTTACTTATTCCACATTCATGCCATATATTGATGTTGGAAACCAAAACCGCCCAATTATCTTCCGCTAGAGGTACGCAAAATTATTTTTTCTTGATTGTGTTTCTCAATCCCCACCCCCTTGGCCCTCCTTTTTTCTTTAACTCTCTCCCGCTACTCCGTTTCCTTTTGTACAAGATTTTGATGTTTTTGTCTTGGTATTCCAGCTTTGTACCCTTGTATTTCTTTAATGTTATACGAAGGCTTTATCTTCAATACAGAGAGCATCTTTAGTTGAAAAGTCGAGGCAAACGCCACAAGAACGAATACGAGTTGTGACTGATGTAAATTCTTGTTGTCATCTCGTACATGTGTTCTTAGTTTTTAATGTTGTAATCTTACTATTCATTTAATTTTGCAGGCTTTGAAAACCTACTGTTATGATGATGACCCTCTCTTTGTTGCTTGTGGCATTTCAATTGAGAAACAGCTCACCCAGGTTGATGGCCGTGTCCTTGAAGTACCAAAGGAAACTATTTCTGTGGCAAACAATGCATGTTGAGCAATTGGAGAATTAGCGGTTAAGTTAGTTTCACCTCCCTATTTGCATCAGAATGAATCTAGATAATACTGCATTTTCATGCACCATTCTCTATTCTTCAACTAGCTAATTCTGGCTTAAAACAATTGTGACTCGCATTGAAATGTGGGTTCTTTTTATGACTTCCAATTTGCATGGTTCTCAATTTTTTTGGGTATAATTCTAATTTCTGATTTGATCTTTATGTTTCATATCATTTTGTGTATTGACTGGAAAAACATCATTAATGTTCATTTTGTTTTAAAATGAGGAAAATTATTAATCCATGACCGTAAAACAAGAGATGTCAAAGATGTTTGTCTTCATAGTTGATCTTCTTGATTTTGTGCTTGAATATATTAAAAGTATGTAACATGAAGAATGATCCTGTTATTTAGCAGGGCAACTTAATTGAAAAAAAGGCAAGGTCCAGTTACTTTGTACATGCTACATGTCCTAAAACTGAGCGGGATGTAAATCCGTGAGCCTGGACATGATCCTTTTCCTCATGCCATACATCTGAAATTTCTGCCAACTTTATAGTTCATTTTTAGAATGCCAATTAAATTTTCTTCAAGTAGCTTCTTGACATGGTGAAAGTTGTCTTATCCAGACAATAAAGCTACATATTCATTTCACTTCTGATACTCTTATTACAGTCTTTGACGCTTGAAAATGTTATGTGGTTCACAAATTGTTTGTAGGAATGACAGTATTCTTTGACAAAAAATCTAGTGAATTGCACAAGTAAAATTTGATGATCAGAGAGCTTATTTATTTATGTGTGTATGTTTATTCTTTTTAAAATCTATCTGCTGTCTACTTACATTTGACACACATTTTGATACCTCCCTTTTTTTTTTCAAAATTTATTTTTATTTCTTCCCCTTTTCCTATGTCCATATATCTTATGGAGTCAATAGTCTGAACAAAATAAATTTCAAAATGTTAAATTATTCTATGTTTTGGCATTGCTGGCTAGCTTAACTGGTAAAGTCTCTTGGCAATTGTACCAAAGACCTAGTTTGAATAATGCCTTCATCTGGGTTGGGGAGGTCTACCGAAAAAAGGAAAAAAATAGTGCAGTGACCATGTTCAGTCTATTTATTTTGCATGCTAACATGAGTTGTGTTGAGGTTTCATTTGATTGCTAAGCATCTCATTTCTTTCATGTCTATGTTTATTATTTGGGGCATGTGTTTCTTGTTGGTTTCCTTTTTGAATCAATAGTAAATGGGGTGCACAAATTTATCAACAATGCCCTTTCCTAGACTAGAAGTATTTTGACATTTTGTAAACTAATAATTTCAGGTTCGTCAAGAAATTTCTCCAATAGTGATGACAGTCATTTCTTTCTTGATCCCGATTCTTCAACATGCTGAGGTGATTGTTTCTTTGCTATTTCCAGTCATGCATGTGTATGCGTGCACACACTTGTGGGCATGGGTGTATGTTTCGGACTGTTATCTCTAATTAGTTACATTTCTTGATGTTGAGCAGGAGCTCAATAAGTCACTTATAGAAAATAGTGCTACAACGCTTGGTCGAGTTGCCTGGGTTTGTCCAGGGGTTGTATCACCACACATGGAGCATTGTCTTAGGAGTTTTTGAGTTGTTTGGGAAAAGATTGAAAGCTGGAGAAGGGGGTGGGATGGAAAACTTATGTTTGGGTCCTATATTACAGTGACAAGTTGATGTAGTTGCATCTCTATTGATGGTTAATAAGAGGGGATCCCTGCCAACCACACAACTATATTGACCTTGTCTGATCTCTCTCTCTGCAGATTATTGGAAAAGGTGCTTCATATATGTGTGTGTATTTTGTTGTATTCAATGAATTTTTTAAAACTTTTTGTACAAATTTTATATTTTTTAAGTGTATCTACATTAAATAGATCTAAAAAGTTAAAAAATAAATAAAATAAAATAAATTAGTGAAACATTCCTCTCTAACATTTGATAGTAGGAAAACTCCAATATATTTTTTTACAATTAAGGTCCCTTAATAATATTATTAGAAAAATTTTAATTCATTATAGAAAAATTTTAAATTTTTCTATCACGGGCTACCGATAATCATTATAGGCAACTTTGGCAATTTGTTAACTCCATTGCAGTGAACGAAGACGGGTCTTCTCAACTCTCTTTTCTCATCCTCCTTGGGAACTTAATAGTGATAGAATGCCAAAGCATATCACATACCATCGATACTAGGGAGGATAAGAAGAGAAATTGTGAAAGGAAAGAAAAGGCATGAACAATGGGCACATGACAAAGGTATTTTTGGCATTTGAAAATTCAAAATTGTTGATTCCATCAATACCTACCTTTTTAATTAAAATAATAGAATAAATTTCATTGAAGATTGTGAACTCCATTACTTTTAATTAATAATTCATTTCACTTGTTAAACACGATGAACAATGTATAATGTCCGCTTGCTAAAACACGATGAACAATGTATAATATATCCGTTTGCTAAGTAATACTTATCTTTATAAAATCACGTCTACGCTTTCAATAACATCAGCCCAAAAATTAAAAATTAAATTGATAGTTTACGAGCCTTACCTACTTAACTGTTTCTTTTATATCACTACAAGAAAAAGCATTTTTGCCGACCACTTTTAGCTACCAAAACTAATTTAGTCGCCAAAAGTCACGGAATTGGCTACCAAAAATAATATTAGTCGGCAAAAGTCAGATTTTTAGCTACTAATTTTTTTTAGTAGGGGAATGTTGATTATTGGCTACTAAAAAAAATTTAGTAGCTAAAGATATTACAATTGGTGACTAAAACAATTTTTAGTAGCTAAACATATGACAATTGGCGACTAAATAAAAATTTAGTAGCCGTAGAGGTACCTTTAGCTACTAAATTGTTTGGTAGCCGAATGAAAATAAAAAAATTAACAAAATAGTTATTTTATTTTATTAATAACAATACCATTAGTCTCCACTTGAAAATTTGACTAAACAAAATAGTTATTTTATTTTATTAATAACAATACCATTAGTCTCCACTTGAAAATTTGACTAAACAAAATAGTTATTTTATTTTATTAATAACAATACCATTAGTCTCCACTTGAAAATTTGACTAAACAAAATAGTTATTTTATTTTATTAATAACAATACCATTAGTCTCCACTTGAAAATTTGACTAAACAAAATAGTTATTTTATTTTATTAATAACAATACCATTAGTCTCCACTTGAAAATTTGACTAAACAAAATAGTTATTTTATTTTATTAATAACAATACCATTAGTCTCCACTTGAAAATTTGACTAAACAAAATAGTTATTTTATTTTATTAATAACAATACCATTAGTCTCCACTTGAAAATTTGACTAAACAAAATAGTTATTTTATTTTATTAATAACAATACCATTAGTCTCCACTTGAAAATTTGACTAAACAAAATAGTTATTTTATTTTATTAATAACAATACCATTAGTCTCCACTTGAAAATTTGACTAAACAAAATAGTTATTTTATTTTATTAATAACAATACCATTAGTCTCCACTTGAAAATTTGACTAAACAAAATAGTTATTTTATTTTATTAATAACAATACCATTAGTCTCCACTTGAAAATTTGACTAAACAAAATAGTTATTTTATTTTATTAATAACAATACCATTAGTCTCCACTTGAAAATTTGACTAAACAAAATAGTTATTTTATTTTATTAATAACAATACCATTAGTCTCCACTTGAAAATTTGACTAAACAAAATAGTTATTTTATTTTATTAATAACAATACCATTAGTCTCCACTTGAAAATTTGACTAAACAAAATAGTTATTTTATTTTATTAATAACAATACCATTAGTCTCCACTTGAAAATTTGACTAAACAAAATAGTTATTTTATTTTATTAATAACAATACCATTAGTCTCCACTTGAAAATTTGACTAAACAAAATAGTTATTTTATTTTATTAATAACAATACCATTAGTCTCCACTTGAAAATTTGACTAAACAAAATAGTTATTTTATTTTATTAATAACAATACCATTAGTCTCCACTTGAAAATTTGACTAAACAAAATAGTTATTTTATTTTATTAATAACAATACCATTAGTCTCCACTTGAAAATTTGACTAAACAAAATAGTTATTTTATTTTATTAATAACAATACCATTAGTCTCCACTTGAAAATTTGACTAAACAAAATAGTTATTTTATTTTATTAATAACAATACCATTAGTCTCCACTTGAAAATTTGACTAAACAAAATAGTTATTTTTATTTTTATTTTTAGGTTTAGGTTGTACACCCACCATCCAAAATTATTAATATCTTATTTTATTTTTTATTATCTCAAAATATTAATTTTAAAAAAAATTAATTATTAAAATAATATGAATTTCTTATTTTGTCCTTTTTTTAA